GTAAGTTTCTTATCAGCATCCACAAATTCATGAATTCATAAAAAACACTGATCAATATGGCAGGGACAAAGATCATACAACTCGGATGATAAATCGGCTGTCTCCTGCTCCCCCTCAACTCGAAGACAACTGATCAAAACGAAAAAAGACAATTTGAGCAGTTAAGCAGTTAAGAAACATATTGTGCATCCCCCCTTGCTTCTAACATTGACAAGTACTGAGTATAAAGACAAAAAACATTAAGGCTACGCCGAACTAACCTTTCCATTTCATCTGACCATGAAAATGCCTCCGGCTCGGCCTGATGTGAAACGTCCAGGCTCAATTGTAGGTCTACAGCTTTCTTACAAATCTAGGAAAACAGTGAAATACAATTAAGGAATCAGTTCATAATAGGAGGAAAAAAGGTGGATTCTGTTCCTAAAGAGCGCATAAGATACTATGCAGGCTAAAACGAGCATCATGTATACAGGATCAAAGGAGAAGCTTGATGGCAGAATCATAGAGTAGCATTCACTTTTTACATCCCCCCCACTTCAAAATTCTTGCTGATGTTGATCGATGTTTGTGCCCGGAGATACGTACAGCTGAAAACCTGCTTCTGACCGCAGGTTACCCCTAAATACGACTACCATTTGCCGCGAAAAGCGTCTGCGCTGCAGGCACCGGCGTCACCGACCTATTTTTCCGCCAGTACCTGCAGCGCGAGTACCAAGCGTTTTTGGCCGAACGGGGAGATGGTCATCATAATCAGGGGACGAAACTGCTTTGAAAAACTAGTCTGCACCGAAATCTATGTCTGAGGACTGGGGTAAAGGGTAAGAGTGACGTTCTGAGCCCCCCAAACTCCGCTCGAAAAACTTGACAGGAAAAATTGAGCAGAAAAAAGTACCATCGAAAAAGGGAACTCAGTGGAAAGCTTGAAAAGCACAAATTGCGCATCTAATCACGTACCCCTTCTTCTTCTTCTTCTTCTTGGATTTCATTACTTGCAGACTTATCTGCTTCTGTTCCTTTTGATTGCTCTTCACCGTCTGTTTTCTTGACGGCTTTAGGAGACCCCTGAACCACATTAATTACAAGTAGCTTCGATAAAAAAATCTCAAAAACTGCGTTTGATTCTTTAACTATGTAAAGAAGGCTATCAGTCTACAGAGAGTAGCCATATGACATCACATTTACCAAAGGAATACGTAAGAGAAAATCGGCGACCGGCGCAATCTCTCGAATCGGCGGATCTCCTCACTCGCTAAGCATGAACATGGCTTCCCAGTCAGGCCTGAGTTCAAGTTTTCTGCACATTCCCCAGCAATCCTGTGCTAACCTAAAGGCAGAGCTCAAGGATGTCATTTGCCGGAGAGTGCAGAATGCCAAGGTGCTAAGCTGCCTAAAAGTAGCTTTATAAGAACAGCCTGTTGTCCTCTATATCACGTGAGCGTTCAACGAACGACACGGAGCGTGGACAGGAGAAGCAGACGTTATGGCGAGAAAGTATACATATCAACGAAGGCCGCGCTACATAGCTTTGGCAAAACGAAGCCAAAAAGGAGGAGGGTGATCGAGGGGGCGGAGACCGCTTGTGGTGACCGAGCCGTCGCGTACTTACTCAGCACGTTCAGGCCACGCCACGAAAGTCTACTCTGAGCTGGACATCCTCAAAGGGCAGGTAACGCTAGTCGCGAACTCTGTCTCCATGGGATAGCGATACCGTGGCTTGGTCTATTAAGAAACGGCGACAATCACGCACTGCTCATCTCTCTGACAACTTCGCCGTTACAGGAGTAAATCTCAAAAGAGCTCCAGCAGTAACAGAAAGAGCCCGACCCTAGTGGTTTACTTGAGGAAGCACAATGCGTTCTAACTAGAATTCTAAAAACCCTCGGTAGCACACCTAATTCACGTGAACGCCAGCCAATGTTTGTTTTCAATTTAGGCCACCAGTTAAATGACGTAAAAATTAGTTGGTCCCATTGAATCGAACGAATTCCTTAGTGTACGGCAAGAATCGCTCCTATAAATCACTTAGTGCTATGCAGCGATACATGCAAAGCGCAATAGGCTGCTTCCGCATCGGAAAGTCTGTTCAAACAGAAGAACTTATTCCTATCACAACCAGCATGGAAACGAGGGAGATACCGCCCCCGACTATTTCATACAAAGAACCAGAACCGATAAATCACCTCTTCGAGACTATTTATAATCCCATTGACTAGAGGAGTCGACGATGAGTCAATGTTCGACACTGGCTCATTTTCTAATGCGGTCGTCATCTCAGGTGTGACGTCGCGATTTGACTTTTCGGATACCACACCGCTCACTGGCGATGGCTCCGAATTAGCTGAAACTAAGTTTTTAAGTCTCGATGTATTTGTATGACCTTACGGTAAACGACTCTACCTGGTTTTGGAACAATTCGTCGTTTCTTAAACACCACCGACTCGCGAACTCGTCTCTGAAAATGAAACAGCTCTAAACACTGAAGGAAATTTACTGAGAATGAGGCTGTGTTCATACTTTGCGTCGGCGTTTTGAGCGTTACAAGCGTACGCCTGCGTTTTAAGCGACCCCCAAAAGCCTAAAACTTCTTGCAAAAACGCTCAAAGCGCAGGTGGGCGCTCAAAACGCTGGCGTACGCTCGATACACTCAAATGCTTCCATACTCTCAAAACGCTGACGCAAAGTATGAACGAAGCTGGAGAGACAAAAAGGATGCAGAAAACATCTATGAAGGCACATTTGCATCTGGTGGGCATAGAAACCGAACGTGAATTCGTAAATGCTAATTGACCTGTCACTCGAGCGTAAAATAGGAAAAAGTTGGAAACCCCTTAAACAGGTACCAATGGTGTATCACCATTCGGAGAGGGGAGGCACTGCTGCATAGCCGAGAATAGAGACAAGCAGATAAAGGAGAGAACAGAAAGGTGAGAGAGACGACAGATACGGTCATAGCTGAAATCACCGCAACGTTTCCATTTATGTATTTACAAATATAGGTTCTCTAGCGTAACCCATACCCCATGTGGGTGAGACACTCCTACGGGTGAAGGGGAGGAGGGGTGTTAGTTCTCCTAATGACGGTCGCGGCGCCCTTCTGAAGCCGCGAAAGTACGACATTCTCGGATACTGAGACACCTACATAACTATAGGAGCAAGTTTCTATCCATCAAGTACTCGCAGAATGTGTCTTTAGGTCACAAAATGATGGTGGCAGACAGAATGAGCTAACAGGAAGAAGAGGAGAAATGTGTAGGAAATGAGTTATTCCGCTGAAGCATCGAATTTAAAAGACATTCTTGAGAGACGGACAAGCAGGCAAAATTTCTCTCAGTCGATGAATTCATTCTTCGCAAAAACGT